AAATATTTGGATATTGATGGAGTTATGATAAGAATATGGATATTGGGCTCATTGGATAGATTGTAATTAATTATGAATATTAAGTTCGAGAAAAAGTTAATTCGGATAAGCGAGGCCCAAGTCATCGAGATCGAGAGATATTTCTTTAAATTGTAAATTAGTTAAGTTATTTAATGAATTGAGAATTTTTAATGGGAAGCCACGTGTCTGATGTGTTTGTTTCTTTGTTTTTTTTTTTTTTTTTTGAATTTTGGTTAGTTTGACGTGTGGGAATCCTAAGTTGATAAGAGTTGGTCAAAATTTTGTTCCAAATACACTTATCCTATTACCCGATCTCACTCCCACACATTTCCTACTATGCACCAACTCGTTAAAGTTTAGGTTATTATTGCCTATGTACATATAGATGTATGACCTAATGGTGAGTACACAAACAAAATATACATTTATGCTGCACACAAGCAAAGGTAGGAAAATAGTTTGGATCGTGATTTTGGAACTTTTTATCTTTCAAGAACTTATTTAATCTAACAAAGTAGGATAAAAAAGTGCAGTTGTTTTATCCGGTTTAAATTGTTTATTTTCATGTTATTGAATTATTATACTTATGAAAGTTTAAAGATATGATATGCATGTTGTGGTCATCCAATACCAAAGATATGATATTTATTAAGTTTTTATTGGTTTCTAAAGATATGATGACAGTATGATATTTTGACACATGTTTTAAATAATTTATTTGGGATTGCATCATTATTTTTATGTCCCACTGAGTATTCTCATGTACTCACAATATTCAACCTACTCCTCACAGGTTATTAAGGGTCGTGTNGACACATGTTTTAAATCTTTTATTAGGGATTGTACCATTATTTTTATGTCCTACTGAGTATTCCCAAGTACTCACCCTTTTTCCCATACTCCTCACAGGTTAGTATGATTCGTGTCGGAGCATTGTGGATCGATGTTGCGGTTGTGTCTCGTTTCGTTAGACGAAAATCTAAAATTTAGCACGTAACTTTGTTTCCTTTTAAGTTTAATTTCAATAGATAGTATTTTAAAATTTAATTCTCGTACATTTATTTGTATATGGATATGTTTAGATTGCACTATAAATTGGAAGTTTGAAAATTTATTTGCTTGATGTCGTTGTGTGATCTTCCACTANTGCACTTTTAATTGGAAGTTTGAAAATTTATTTGCTTGATGTCGTTGTGTGATCTTCCACTACCTATTTCCATTTTTTTAAAAATTAATTGTTTATCCAATAAATTTTGGTAACGATTCATATTTAGTTCTATACAAAATGTAGGTTGTTACAGTTTGGTATCAGAGCTTTAGGTTTAAATTTTCTATAGACACATGTATTTTCATAACAAGTTTATAATAAGACAAAAAAAAATCATGAACAGTGACATGTCGCGTCACTGTTCACGATGAACAGTGACATCGTGTCATTGTTCACGCCGTCACTGGTCATCATGAACAGTGGGAAAAAAAGGTTTGTAAGTGTATTTTAAAGGATTAAAATAATTGTTATATTCATTTAAAATATAAATTAGTAATGTGTGTACATTTTTAAGTAATTGGTATGTTATTTTTCAAATAAAAAATGAATTAAAAAATTGTGAACAGTGCATATCACTGTTCACTATGAACAATGACAGAGAAGAAAAAATGAATTTAAATGATTTTTTTAATGATTTAAATGATAATTTAAAAAAAATTGAATGTAACGATGTTATATTAATACTGAGCTTTCATATTTTAAATGATACATTAATAATTGATTTTTGTTAGTCGTTTTCTTGTGTAACATTTGTTAAAAATCAATATTTTTCTTAAAATGTATGAATTCAAGGATGAAGTAAATTTAGAGTCTTAAATATGTGAAAGATCTTTGGCACTCAAAGACCTCTAATCGACCACCATCCGGCGACTC